GGCATATAAATGGCAAATCATTTGACCGCAATTGTCATCGAGATCCTTTTACAGCTTCCTTCACGATCAGATCCAAGAGAAAGTCACGATAAGTGGAAAGCCGAACGCATCATACTCAAAACTTGGTGCAGCTTCAGCGGCCAGGATAGCAGGTCAAAGTGGGCGGAAATCGCGCATATCTTCATGTTTCCATTCTAGTTTCTTGGGCCTGTATTGCGAAGACGGAGGCAAAGAGTAGCATAGTAGCACCAAGGCACGAGATCTCCATCCATTCTGACCTACTGTCCCGGGCGCTGAAGCTGCTTCAAAGGGACATGGCACGATAATTCGGTACTCGGCCTAAAATGCTAGCAGGGTGCTATATAGTGGGGAAATGGCGAAAAAACGAAGTGAAACGGTCAAAAACCTGCGAAGAAAAGCCTTCGTTCTTAATGACTCAAAAGCAATTTCGGACGAGTTTCCCGTAGGCATCTTGCCAATAACCGCTACGGTAGGTACGGCTGCACGTATGTACTCATATATCCATGCAGCACCGCAGCCGCTTCATATCAATCCCTTCGCTTCATATTTTACTTAGCAAATGAAGCAATACGAGCATCAGGTACGGTCGTCCATTTGTGGGCGGGCGGGCGCGGTGGGCGTTCGGGTCGGTATGTTGTAGCTTGATAGGGCCTTATAAGGGTACCTTCCTTGGAAAAGGCGCTACGCAGCGCCTGCTGGAGGTCGCGTTTGTCCGTCCTACCAGGCATATTAATCCTACTCGTATTGGGAGTTTGTTGTACCAGTTGCCTTCATGTCCTAAGTATGTACCGAATAGGCAGATATATGAGGACATTTCTGCTTCACTAACGCTTTTGTTTTTCTCTCTGCTCTAATCACACGCTACGATGAACGATATACATGGGCGTAGTTGGCCTTTGAGCATTAACGGCAAGAAAAAAAAAAATATCATTACGGAGGGAAAAAAAAAGCTCGCAGCACTTTTCTCGGGCACCTTTGTGTAGAAACTATTGGTAATTTCCTCCCGGAGGGCGTTATAGTAACAATCCACGCGATATGTTTCAAAAACCAAACGAGTCGAATTTTCGCCAGGCGGCATTTAAAAAATGCAAAAGGTTTGAAAAAGAGAAACCGACGCCAGCTGCACATAAAGCTGGCAATACTATGTAAAAGTCCTCAATCAATCGAAAAAAAACGGGCAGCTTAAACGATAAACATACGCGAGGGCGGAGATATCGTCGTTGGCGCCTGCCTTCGCACCCGCACGTATGCCTGCGCCGCTACGCACGAACATAACGGCTACGCTTTGTCACGGGAAAACTGGACAACTTCACAGATAAAGGAGGTATAGAGACGAAAGAAGACAGGATCTGAGCCGATGTTCCGCCCATTGTTTATTTCCCGGCCTTTGTAAGGCCAGTCTGGCGTTTAAAGCGCTATTGGTGGTTGCTCGAGTATCATAACATTGAAGGCAGCTGGTACGATGATACTAGGGACGACGAGTAAGAATATACGCCTGGAAAGACGGACCACTTCGCGCGCCCTTTTTCAGGCGCTGCATAACGCCTTTTCCAAGGAATGCACCCTTATAAGGTCCTATCAAGCTGCAAAATATCGACCCGGTCACCCGCCCGCCCACAAATGGACGAGCGTACCTGATATTCGTATTGCATTATTTGCGAGATAAAATATGAAGCGAAGGAATTAATATGAAGCGGCAGCGATGTATGGCATGGATATATGAGTACATACATGCAGCGGCATCTAGCGTAGCGATTACTGGGCAACGCATCCTACGGGAAGACTCGTCTCCGGAAATTGTTTGCTGGTCATGAAAGATAAATGCATTTCTTCGCAGTGCTGCTGACGCGGTTTCACCCACCTCGTTTTTTCGCCCATTTTTTTCCACTAAACAGCACACTTGCCCTAGCTGTTTTAAAGTCGCGAGTACTAAATTATCGTGCCATCGCCGCTTTAGAGGCGTTTGGCTCCAGATGATGCAACCCAATAGGGTGAAAAATTACCGGGTAAAGCCGTGGCGTTGTACGAAGCTACTGCACACATTCCAAATACTGAAACTTCTTGCAACTACAAACCTCGATTTGATTATTGTAAAGATCCAGATGTTCTAAATGTACAAGGGCTCCAATATTGTCGGGAAGGTGATCCAGCTGATTGCTGCCCAACTCCAGCCTGAAACTCAAAAAATCTGATTACGAGGCGATGACTATGGCAACGAATTCTACACTACCTCACAAGGCGAGTCATTGTGCACAAAGACGGCGGTAAAACTGTAATTTTGTTAGATCCTAGATCGACATGAGTCAGTCGTGGGACCTTAAAACGTATAAGCTTTTGATTAACAATGAATACAACTGTGTCAATGATTCTGCACCAAAACTGCTCAAACAGACTCGGAAGAGGAGAGGCTTTTAGGAGACGCATTGCCGAATTTGGCAGTACAGCGACTTCAGGAACCATGCTCGTTTACGCTCATTTGTAATTTGGCACTTTCTCCCCTATTGCCTCCTACTGAGAAATTTGTACTTCTCAAAGGATGTTGACCCTAGGGGTTAACTGGGCCAGCAATCTGTCGGGTAGTTCGACTCTCAGAACAAGGATGTCACAACGTTTTGAACGAAACGATGTGGTATCTAGGTTCTGGCTCTCGGGCTACAGATGCCGGCGTCACAGGCATGTTTAGGCACCGACATGGGCGATGCCAGGGATGTGAAGCGAGACTTATCTTCACCTTTAGTAGCCCTCACTACATCAGGAAACAAGTTCCTAGTAACTTTAGTGACGGGTTGTTTTGACACCAAGGCCAATTTAGCGTGAGCGCCCAGAATTTTCGCGACAAATGGATGCGATATGTACGCCCAAAGGCAAGTTAACTCCTGTCGCAAGTCTGTGCCCAGTCTACTCAGGCACGAAATCCGAATAAGCGATCAAAATTCCTGTAAGGGTACTTCCTCTCGATGGCAAAAGCGGGAAAACACGACACCCTTCTCTAAATTTCCTTCTGTACGACCCCTTCTCCATTTGACATCCTACCTACAATTCATCTTCCCGGATTTTCCCCAACCTAGCAATTTTCTGCAGTTCTTCCAAAAACTATTTCCAGAAAAACTGTCGTTGGGCAAGGCGAGGGGAGAAATAGGGATGCAGCGTACTTGAAACAGGAAAAATCGACAAAAACCAACAAGCGAAAACATTTTTTCCAAAGACAAAAACGCCCGCCTTCCAGGGACAAAACACGACCCCCTCGCTGGGAGCCTCAACGTACGACAGTGCCCTAATTTCTATAAGAGGGTTACAGGTCATCTGTCAACTGGATATTCATCTCTGGGAGGGTCCAGAAGCATTTTCTCATTGCAGCTTCTGGCCGAGCCTATGAAGGGAGGAGAACATGGAAGAGGGGAGAAAGGACAGAGGCTTGAATAGAAGGAAAGTGGAAGAAAAAAAAGAAAGGAGGAGGGAGGCTTCGCAGTTGACAGGTATTCTGATACATTAGAGGCAGTAAAGGGCAAACAGTGCCAGGACAGGACTTAATTCTTCAAATCTAATTTCAAAGTGAACCTGTGGCAATGCTTTAGGTACAGCAGTGAGGCCTCGAGCCGACAGGTCGATCTCGTTATCATCGGCGAGATCCTTCAATTCTTTTAGCGAAATTTCTGTCATCTAAACAATCGAAGCAGTTTAATAAAGCAAATACCAACATAAAAAGACGAAAGAAAACAAAATCGATATCTCGTTCCTTGGCAAACAACCTCTATTGATGATCACATAACTTTTGAAAAACTTTATAAGTTCCAAACAAGGCACAATATAATTGCACAACTAGTAATGACAACCAACGCCAAGTGAATAAAAAACAAGTGAATAAGCACCTTTGACTAGCCGCAAGGAGATTAAGAGCACTTCAGGATTTTCTTACAGTAATATGAAATTATGCTGTGAGGGAGATTCTTTCGAGACAAACAAGTAAATTAATAAACATTCAGAGTTCTGATTTTGACTGGCTCTTGTTCTTCTTTTTAGTGACTTTTGTGTCTTTTTCCTTTGCTCGCCGTTCACGCTCCTGTTCAGCAAGTTCTTCGAGATCTTTCTTGGCCCTTTCTTTATCAATTTAAGGTTAATAAACCTGAAAAGATCGATTCTACAGCACTGTAAGTGGACATTCACATGAGCATAAAATCTCTTAAACGTACTTTTCAGACTTTGGAATTATACCCTGTTGTTGCGCCATCATGTCAAGAACTTTGTAGGTGTCACCATCGCAAAGACCTTCAACAGTTATGCGGTCAACTTTACACTATTCATGTTATGATTTCAGTGGGAGGTACTTACCCGTCTCCTTGGCGTAGTTGTACTGTCGTCGCGAAACACGGCTGTCGCTCACTTGCGGATCTTTTTTGGCAATGTCCTTCTGCATAAGAAAAGGGGAATCTCAAGGAGAAGATCCGAGAAAAAGGCGAATGTTCTCGAGTACTGCGAAGACAAAAAAATGATTGACGGAGGGCTCTGATATCTCTTTCTGACGGCTTCTGAAGCCTGCAATTAGAGCAAGCATAATTTGTGGTTACGCAAGCAGCAGGCATAACGAAAAAGAGACAAAGTGGAGGGCATACGAAATGCTCACGTCGCTACCAACGGTCGCCGTGGCTACGGCAGCCAAACAAAGCATTCTTTTTTCAATCAAGACGCCATTACCATGTGCAAAGGTTTTTGTGCTGTAAAAGAGGCATTTCGCCCGCCCTCATCGATGCGAAAACGCTCTATATCTTCTAAGCTTATGAAAAGCCATTCAGCGATAATTGCGCAGAGCCGACACGCAGTTTCGGCAGAGATTTGGTTGTAGCTTCTAAGGCTAGTTAGGATCATATTCATGGATTAAAGTCGATTTTGTAATGTTCACAGGCGGGCGAACTTCCATATTTGAATGCAAGTCTACAGTTCCTCATTAAGGTTAAGAGCACCACCCCGTCCTTCCGCATTTTTTGAAGACAGTCTTTGCGTATCAGCAAATGCGTAGCTCCTTCCTCAGTGCAGAGTAGCTGGATGCCCAATCTATGAGGCTCCACTGCATGCTTCAGATAAGTAGCGAAGCGATGTGGCCCTCATAAGGCGGCAGGACTCTGATGGCCTCTCTGATGCCCACCGCACAGCAGAATCGCAAATAGGCTGGTTTTCTGTCTGAAGTAGTGTGTTTATGTAGGGTTTTTCCAGTTAATATGGTTTAACATAGGAACTATTAGTATGGGCGCTCAAAGGCGGCAGGATATCTCGCTTCCATAAAAATCGAGGCAGATACGGAAAACGGGCGACAAGAAAAGCTACGCAGCTTTTACCGTAGGGTGTTCTCCGCATGATTGTCTCAGTTTTTTTCCTTCTCGCGGAGAATCGATTCCAGAATCAGACTAGAGGTTTGTCACTGAACGATGCGATCCTCGAAAATGCGATGCGGCGGGCCTCGTACTGTAAGGAAAACAGCCTGCTTAGAATTCGGCGGCGTCTAGAAAATTTGTTTGCGAACTCTATGTATAATGGTTGTGGGATCGTAACTGTGGAAAGGGAGCGTGTCGTGGATCGGCTGGCTGGAACAGCGGCGGCGTTCCGGAGAGGAGAGGGTGGGCCTGACGAGGCACCATTCTGTACTCCACCAGTTGTGGAAACTGTCAGGCGGCGCTGTTCATCGACGGAGGGGGGGGGCATTTTGTATTATAATTGCTTCCCTGGTTCCGGTCTACAGATCACACTTTGGTAAAACTTGTGAACGCTTGTGAAGCTGGAGCAAGATCGTCTAGCCACCATCCTAAAACGTGTCAACTCGAAAAAAGGGTACCTAGATGGGTTGGCAAATCTATGAAAAGCAGAATGCCCCCCCCCCGTCGACAGACAGCGCCCTGTCACACAACCATAACTGGTGGACAGCTGGCTGGCGCGTGCTTAACCCAGCCCCCTGAATCACCCCAGCGGTCTGGGCACGCCACAAGACAGACTTGCATTTGGATCACTGAGGGAGGGTGGTCTTCGGAATAAAAAAATTAATATATCGACGGTGGGGTGGTCCGGTGGGGCGCTCCTGACGCAAAGCTCTATAAAGCCGCCGCGTATCAGGCATCTATTCAGAATCCATGAATACTTTTTTGGGGCGAACTAACGAGGTCCGCTGTAGTAGGTCACTGTCCGAACCACGGATATCCTCCCATATAAGTTGAGTGAACTACAATTTCCCAAGGATTGAATAGATTGGACTTAATTTTATATAAGAAACATACTAAGTATAGCTAAAACGGTGCCTTTTCGCCAATGAGTCATCTCTTGCTTCTGCTCGCCAGATGTTAGCGAATTAGCTATAAGGCGGAAAAACATACGCCATCTCACTAGAAAGGTCTGACATATGCCAGACAACACATCTCAAGGTCTCTTCCATGGCGCGGACGATCGGCTCAATGAAGGACGGGGTATCATGTTTCCGTCACTGATGAAGCGGTACTTTTTTGGCTTTGGTTGCAGCAGGAGTTACGTATGAACAGAAAGTAGCTTCCTTCGTGTCAGGTGACCCCCCCCCCTCGCGAGTACAACCGCTTTTTTCTTAGAATACATGAAAAAAATGTCTCTCGCTTCACGAAAACCTGGAAATCGGGGTGTGAAAGAAGGTTCTTCACCGCTATTGTGTACGCCGTAATGAGCTTTAGAAAGGCGCGCTGGACTAAGAGGCGGCGGGCGCAGGGTGGGGTGTTTCGCACCTTAGCTACTTTATTTTGCTAGATCCTTAAAATGACACGTCTCACTTGGTGAAACCTGTGACTCTTGTCGAGCGCAAACAAAGCTCCTGTTATTGCACGGCTTCACAAGAGTAAATATTTCTCCACAGGAGGTACCGATAGCGGTAATTAGCAAAATACCCCCACCAAGCCGAGATGCGCCGAAAAAAAAAAACGCAGGAAATAACAATATCATGAGTTTCAGCGCTAAAAAGAGATCGAGCATACTCCAGTTCGCCGCGCATGAAGGACGCGTCAGGCAGTATGATTATGCCACGGCACCGAATCTATTGTGTGGCAGTTTTGAAGCAGGTATGCGACAACAATACAGCTTATTATTTCTCGCTTCGACACAACTGATAGAGAACAGATTTCGCCACCGCGCCAAACACGGGAAGCGGTGGTGAATCGGCCTTCGACAACTGATAGAGAACAGATTTCGCACCGCGCCAAACACGCCGCCTGACACGCCCCTTCGTCCACAGCGAACTATAGCTGCTGAAATAGTCCATGAGGAAAACTCACCTTTGATATGGCGTTCGTTAACGTCTCGCTGTCATGTGGATATGGTTCAGAGGCTGCATGCCCGATCCTTTCTAGTGTTTCTCGATTTTCTTTCAGAATATCCTTCACATTTTTCACAACCTGTAAAAGATGTACTTAACTGACGTCGAAAGCTCTGGCGGCCTCTCCACCAACAATAAGCTAGTGGCTATACAAGTTTCCCGGAACTTATTGAGGTTTCGGCGCTGACGTACATGGAGATACACACTTGCTGTGGCGGTCCCGATCGTTTGCGCTCCATTTCACCCAAACTGGGGGGAAAGAAGACTACCACTTACTTGGTGCGAGAAGGAGTTTACACCAGAATCGCCGTGGTCGCCCTATTCCTCGAGCGTAGATCCCCTTCCGAGCTGGCGTCAAGCATTATTCGAAAAATCGTATAATGGTAACTGAACACTTCACGGTATACATATAACAGCCACTGGTTGCAAGAGTGGATGAGTGTGAGGTACAACGCGGCAGCACGAAGTTTGTGCTCTCACAGACTAGGCCGCGGCAACTCTGATCGTCAGGGCTCTGCTAAGTGTAGGCCTTAGGTAGAAAAAGAGACATGGAGCGGTGCAGCATGACACAGCATCTATCTCTGCTCCAGCCTGAATCTCTTATGAATCAGAAACCCTTCTTCAAAGGAAGCAGATGAGTGAACCTAAGCTGCAAGCATGCATTGCCTTTACCAAAACCATTCTTTACTCCAATCGAATCGTCTTGAACTTAACAAAAAGACTGACAAGTAATTGTGAGCTCAATAGTGTCGGAGAATTTCTCTAGGCACTTATCAGCCAATCAAACAATCCATCAGTATCGCTTTTTTTCCGAGCTTGCAATCATCGGCATTTGCTGGGGAACAATAGCAATTAGTAAAACTGACTAATGGTAAGATCACTCACAGCAACTTTCCGCAACGAGCAGTTTTCCGATCCTCCAATGGGAATGAGGGTGAGCCGGCTAGACTATAGGACATTCAGGAAATACACAATGGTTTGTACACCTGCCTCTCTCGCACGAAATAGGCGATGTCTTCTCTCTCTCTCTTTCCCACGGCCACCGTTACAAAAGTGTTGTTGCCCTGAGTGACGCGGCATCTCCACCGCAAGGTCGCTATAAACCGTGGTAGTTCCAATTTGATGTGGCACTTTGGAAAAACCTCCCTTCAGGCCACGTTTATACTTTCACGACTATGGCGATAGATCCGCGCGATTAGGAGTCGAACATTTGCGATCTACTGCGCACCACTGCAGGAAGTTGGACCGCCACAGCTGCCAAGAAAAGTTATGTGCTAAATGCGACTGAATTAGCAGGTGCAGCGACTCAACGATTAACGGTAGAGTCGCGCGATTACAAACTAGCTCGAGTAGCAAAGTATGATGCATGATGCTGCTTTTGAGCTTTACTTACGATCGGTAAACATCACCAGAACCCTTTATAAGTTTCTCGAATGTAATCCCAGGAATCTGTACAGCCTGTATAAATAGAGTGAATGAAAAAAGGAGGATAGTAAACCACGGCTGACCTCTTCAACGTATCGCCTTCGCTTCGATTCCTCAATGTTCACTATGGATTCAATAGCACCAAGTTGATCACGCCGTTTTTCCCTGCAAAGCCTCCGTATCTGCACATGAGTGACTTCACTAAGGGTGTACAAATCACCACACACAACAGAAAAAAAAACGAGCTTGTATTAAGGGAGGTTGGGAACAAAAATATTCCAATCGGTTCAGTTTTAAAGCATTCACGATAAAAATTATTTCCCATTCAGTGGTTTCAGGGTCCAGACCACGATTTGGTATCATTTGGAAAATGCGGTAAGGGACTTTAGGCCAAAAACTGGCCCACAGCCGCTGGGTAGACATTGCCACGCGACGAATAGAAAAGTTTTCGGCTCGCCTGCACCCGACCAGTAATGTGATGCCTTAAAAATGGCCTGCCGTAAAAAAAAATTTCAATTCTTGATTCTAAGTAAGAAGACAGTAGAAGATCAAAAAGCAGGAAGCAAAGCTATCACACAAAAATCTCAAGGGTGTAGGAGGCAATTGAGGTGGATTCGGCGGCGCGTAGCGACTAGCACACTCCGAAGGAAAGCGTGCAAAGGTTCATTGTCCCTCTAGGGCGTAAGGGCTTTTACCCACAACGACAAAGAGTCGAGAGTTTTCGAGGAATTCTCTTTATTTAGACAAGTCTGATTCTAGCGCTGAGTTCGAGTTCCGAAGAGTTGTCGCGAAACGACGAGCACTTGGAAGCCGCCCACCTACTAACAGTGGTTTTTATTCACATCACGGAACAAAGAAGACTCGCTGAAGCCAGCGCAGAAATATGGAATTGGCCCTGTTTGGCTGTTTTCTACTTTGCTACTTGCCACGTGAGCGCAAGCCATGAAGAAGTGGATTGCACGTTTGATTGGTGCCTTGCTCAAAAACGATATTCATCACGAAGTTTGACTTATTGCTGCACGTGTTCCAATATGACCCAGTGTGACGCTTGATAACGAGGGAAAAACAAGGCTATTGCCCTGAGACGTGCATAAGAGGAAAGCGACGACTTCACCAAAGCCAGACATGTGCCTCTTGGGAAGGTTATCCTGACGCCATGTATCATGGACGTGTAAGGCCAAGGGTTAATTTATCTAAGATGCGTGAGACGCTAACCGTAACGTCGGGGGGGGGGGGGTTCAGGGGACAACCGGCCGCGCTGCTGACCTATACAAAAAGGAATTCAAAAGTGCCCGTCAGTCGGCGATGGTACAAGTCCACACAGAATGCATAGTGCTCGCTAGGCGCTGAAGGCCTTGGTAGGGGAAAAGATAAGGGGTGAAACTAATGAGTGGTTCCCTCACTGTGCGAACTCAACGTGGCTTTAGCGGTCATGTTGACTCCAGTGCTTCTATCACAAAATGAGCCCACGCGAAAATTAAGGCGGCACGTATGCGACCTAGCTAGAGAGGGATTGGCAGGCGACCTTTAGGCGGCGTTCAATACGATGTGATGCAGACATTGCGAGGACACAGGGAATGTGAGAACTGCGGATTTGCAGACGTGTGGAATCTGGCAAGACCGGCGGAACGTGCGCAGAAAAAAGAAAATGTCTATCGGATTTTCAAAAGACCGGTGGAATATGCAGAAGTGCGGCGGAAGTTTGGAACGAGAAATGCCGATGGACCGATCAATCCCTACAGGCACAGCATTCGATGGGGATTTTGGTCGAGCCTGTACGACCCCCCCCCTTTTTTTGGGGGGTTCGGTACGGACCCCCCTTTTTTGCCGTTCGGTTTTTTTCGCCTTAAATGAAACTAATGAACGTCCCACTATTGAATTTCTACTTGCCATGAAGGTGCCCTACTAATATAGGAGACTGAGTCATGACTATAACTAGGAAAATACAGAGATGACATTGCAACAAAAAACGGTACAAATTTCGTATTATGGAGAAACGTATGATTGGAACTTCTTCGTGTGGCGTTTTGAAACGCACTGGTAATAATAAGCATATATCGCGCATTAAAAGCAGATTGAGCATCCGGTAACCTGAGGTGGGACTCGCACCTCTCCTGGCGAGCGGCCATCAGCGCGACCCAGTGAGTCTAACAGACGATCTATTCCAAAGAGTTTGAGGACGAGGAAAGCAGAACAGTTAGGCTTGTCTCACATAGGTAACAGTTATAGTGTACAAACCGCAGCGTAAAATGCATTACCCCGATTATTGGAGTACGGTAGCAGAAGCGCATGTAATTGCGGCTGTGACAGGAGATTATTCGGCAATTTTAGCCATGGAGCGAGAATTTCCAGCTGAGTTAGCGCCGTCTCTTGACCAGCGACATAACTCCTCCAAAAGCGGACTGTCGGGAAAGCAAGGAGGACCGTACCCGTGTAGAGGAAGGTTTGCACTTCCTAAAAGTACTAAAACGTTTATGAACGTCGCAAAAATCACAGAGAAATCTGCCATAGGGATTCGTTGGGGAGTGGTTTCAACCGAACAGGTTTGAATCAATATATTTTTTTTGTAACTCAACATTTCACAAATCTGAGAAACGGTTTCGAGTGTTTGAAGATTTTCTCTTTCTCTAAAAACCTCTTGAACTGTTTCTGAAGCTCTCGGGATTCATGAGATCTCGCTATGGGGATTTCTTGAGGAACACTCCAGCTGCGCGAAAAACCCTTTCGATGTTACGTTTAGAGTGAGCGGTATTGAATAGCATTGAACGACTTATGAACGATCACTCTGGTGTGAGCAGGTAGTCAGGATATGGTTCGTTTAGCGCCTTTGTGCTGGACTTTGGATTGCGCGCGCAGCTGAGGTCCGCGCAGATGTGATGGGATGGTGTAACTTGTGCGTAATGTCTGTTCACGCGAGCAAATGTGTCTATAAGGTTCAGGGAGGTCCATGGCGAGCCTGTGCACTTGTTTACAGTGTTTTCCGTTGCGTATGATGGAACATGTCCCTGTCAACGCTGCCAGATTCGTGCTCCGCCAATCGCTGACTCCGATAAAGGAGACCAACTGCTGGAAAACGTCTGATATGAACGATATGGTAGTCCTGTCGCTTGTCGAGAAAAAACAGGTTGGCTCAGCGCCAAGCGCGACCGCGGACACGCCATATCATTGGCAGCGAACCAGAGTTTGAGTTGTACTGTTTAGTCAACTCAACGAGACTTACGATCGATACAATGTCGACCCTGCCTAATTAGAGTATCTCTGCAGTTATACTTCCGGATTGTTTGATTGAATGAAAGTTTTTGCTACTATTTTTTGGATATCCGAGTTGCTCTAAAGTTTCGTTTACAGCCGGACTACAGCACCTATTGAGCAATTTGCGCTGCTCGTTACGGCTGCCGACACTCAAATACGACCCTGTTGGGATTCCCCAACAACGATGTGCCCGGGATCCCTGTTATGGCTGCGTTTAATACTTTTGCGGAGGTAGGTAGCGTAGCGCACGCGTAAGGTAGGACGCTCACAGCGTACGCACAGCGGCAATGCCGAAGAGAGGATGCATATCGATCTAGCTTCACCAGCGTCACCAGCGGCACGCTGGCGTACGCTAGCGGCACGCTAGCGTACGCTAGCGTTTCTCCAGCGTTTCACCAGCGTTTTGCTAGCGCTTGCAGCGGCAGGGAGTAGAGACTATGTGCCCGTCGGAGACGCAGAAGCGATGTGCATTGTAGAGACTATGTGCCCGTCGAAGACGCAGAAGCGATGTGCATTGTAGAGACTATGTGCCCGTCGAAGACGCAGAAGCGATGTGCATTGTAGAGACTATGTGCCCGTCGAAGACGCAGAAGCGATGTGCATTGTAGAGACTAAGGGCGAGTGAGAGACGGGCAATCGATGTGTTTTGTACCCTCCAGCTCTCCCATAGTCTCTACCCCTGCCGCTGCAAACGCTAGCAAAACGCTGGTGAAACGCTGGAGAAACGCTAGCGTACGCTAGCGTGCCGCTAGCGTACGCCAGCGTGCCGCTGGTGACGCTGGTGAAGCTAGATCGATATGCATCCTCTCTTCGGCATTGCCGCTGGTGTACGCTGAAGCGATACGCCTACGCCCCCCCCCCCCCCCCCTACGCTACGCTACGCTGCGCCAAAGTATAAACGCAGCTGGATCGCTTCTTTGTCCGCAATTTCTGCATGTCGGCAAATTCCGCGGAATTTGAAGAAATGCAGTTTTCAGATCGATACGTATATATTTCCTTTCTGCAAATTCCGCAGTTCTGCATATTCCGCATTTCTGCATCATGTATGAACGCGGCCTTATAAAAAAAAAGAGCGAAGTAGTAGAGGATCAACAGAAGCGGGCGTTACTATCGTTTTTCCGCTACCGCGCCCAGCGCGATTCTGGGCTGGTGGAAACGGAGGAAGGTTATAACAGAGATGTATTTCACATAAATATATGCCGTTCAAAAGGCGAAAAGTAAACAAAACCTGAGCTAACAAAAGCACTTATTGTTAGTCAGGACGAAGCAAGCCATGGATAGCATAACACACGAAAAGCGCAAAATGGGGTGAAACTTTTAGCACGAGGTTGGGGAAGGACGAGTTAATCGTTTTGGTATAGTTTCAGTTCAATCAGGAATCAGAAAGGGAGAGCAAGTAAAGGCGGACTCTTCGCAGGGCACACTATTGGTATACGAATCATTGTGATAGATAGTAGAACCATAACTTGTAAACTCGAGAGGCGATCCAAGCCCATATGGGCTGAGGTGCCCTAAGGCCGAGTTCATACTTTGCAAATAAAAGGAGCCCGCAACTTGGGAAAACGTGAGAAAACGAAACATGCGTGATTATGTGGATATCCTGCGACTCCGGGGAATTTGAAATGTCACCAAAGGATTACATAGAAATCGATTCACCCCGCCCACAAGCTTGCTCGGAAAATACAGGATACGGCCTGCGTCACTGGCCCCCTAAAATGCTTCAGATTAATAAAATACTTTCTGGTTCGCGCATTCTCATGAGACAAGAAACGAGCCATGTCACGGATTCTTGGTTACCAGGCATTTTCATGAACCTGAATGTTCCGAGGTATCTTCTTCTCGCGTGGTCTGGATGATTCTTTGAAGGGAGGAAAAGAAGAAGAGGAAAGATAGAAAAGGAAGAATGGAAAAGACAGAGTGAAGGAGAAAGGACCGATTGCTGTCAAATATCCTAAGATGCGAATTCTTCCAATCCACCATGAATGAAAGATAGCGGTATGGAGCACTTGGTAGGGATTATTCAGTATTCTATTTGAATTCACCCCATTATTAATTCGCTTGTCTGTTTGTCTTTCTTTTTCTTTCTTTTGTTAGTTTGTTTGTTTGTAAGT